GGCACACTGCTGCCTACAGCCGCTTGGCCCAATAAGCCCAGCTAAATCGCTCACGGTCTTTGCACTCTTGAGAGGTCCATATTGGAGCCATATGCGCATGTCATTTGAGAATTTGTTGCCTTCAGGATGCAACGTCACAACCAGTAGAGTGGTATGTTTTTTCACCAAGTGGCTCACTCGTTCGGTTTTGAGCCAGTGTATATGTCCTTCACAGGCACATATCTTGTACCCAAATCCGTTGTGTCCTTTGGGATTTGCATCTGTTTGTTTCAGGCCAGACACTTGCAAAGGCGAAGGGTTTTTCATCGGGGATGCTCATGCGGCTTACTGAGTCAACCGTGCCAAATTCCAGGGTGTTGATGCTGAGCGCCAGCATTGTCTCAAAACTCGGGGTGTTGGCCAAAGTCAATGTCTAGCTGCCTATTCAGAGTAGCTCGAGCAGGCTTGGCCTGCAACCGCGAAGAAGCTTGAACCCTTTGTGAGTTGATTGGGTTACTATGGGTCGGCTGTGAGCCTTGCAGGTTCAGATGTCGCAGCTGTACAAAGAGCCGCAAGCAGGCAGAGTGGAGTCCTGAAGGGTGGCCTCGGAGATCTCTCGGGTGGTCCATCCAGAGCTAGGCTTCTGGCAGCTTACCAAAGCTTTCTAAAGCTCATGTCTGCAACAGCCTTTGAACTTTGGACACACTCTACATTGCATGAGCACAGTACCCTGTATGAACGATGGATCTGTAAGGTTTGATGTGATATTGGAAATTGTACTTTGAGCAGCGTTTGAAACACTTCATCTTAGCAGAGTGCAGTATCAGTCATATCTTCCTGGCCTTGCCAAACGCTGCATTCATCATTCCCACTATAGAGTCAGTATCCATGAGAATACTGGCCCTAAGTGTAGAACCAGATGAACACCCTGACGGATGCATCCAATATGCGGGTTTCATGCCTTTTCTTTCTTCTATTTTTTTAGATATAACAGTGTTCTTTTTGCTTGGCACAGCTTGGATGGCCTTCTCTGAGCGATTTGGGCTGCGAGAGCTTGGATGGCAGGTGCCTCGCCCATCTGGGTGTGAGCAGCGCTCAGCGGCACCAAGTAGTGGCACTGAGAGGTAGGGCCATAGGGTGACATGCCTCCAACCCAATGGCCTCCAACTTACTAGCTGAGGCCATTCAAACAGTCAAGCAAATTTGCATAACTCCTTGATTTGCAATGCAGTGAGTGCAGATGTTGCCACAAGACCAGCGTTGGGGCATGCAATCTGCTGGACTGGTGGGGAGGTTGGGAGGGCGGACGTAGGGAAGTTCCCTACACGCTTGTTGATGATCCGGGGTTGCAACCGGGTGTGCAGGGGGTTCACTCCGCTCATCGGTTTAGGAGGTGGGTTGCATTTCCGCTCGGAGGTCTCTTTGGATCCACCGCCGATCTGACAGTGAAAGCCTACCTAGGCACGGTTTCTTTTGGACATGGGGTGACGTGCGCACGGGTTTGACGGCGTTTTTTTTGCGCCACGTTCTTTCCAAGGCTTGGCAACGATCGGTCCAGATGGATCAGATGGGATTAGCAACAAAACGGTGCTGCTGATCGTGCAGGATCGTGTATCTTTGTCCATGACCAACCTGCTGTTGATCAGGTTTCAATAGTTCGTTCGTTCAACAGTTGGACCTGCGGGGGACCTGCAGCCGGGGGGATGATCCAGCCGCAGAAGTTGCAGAAGGGCGAGGGGTCAAATATCCTCCTCTTTTGGTGTCAAATATGACCCTTTTTAAGAGACTGTCATGAATTGGCATAGTTTTTCCACGCACACGTCTCGGACACCTGTGTCTCGGACAGGGTTTCAGACAGTGCGGACAGTGAGGTCTCGGACATGTCCATGTCTCGGACATCAACGTCTCGGACATTCTCGGACAGTGAGGTCTTGGACATTTTGATGTCTTGGACAGGTCTCGGACAGTATACTGTCTCGGAAGGTGGTCTCGGACGTGTCAGCCGCGACGTCTCGGACACTGAAAGGAGGGATATTTGACGCCAAGTGGGGGGATATTTGACCCGCCCCCTTTGCAGAAAGCGACCTGTTGCGAGAGGACCTCTAGATTCTAGAAGAAAGAACTGGTGAACTCCAGTATTTGGGTCCAACTTCACCACTCGTGTGCGTTTAAGGCCTTTTACGGCCCGAGCCGGAAGGCCATTTACCAGAGCCCGTGACAGGCATTGCTCTGGGCATCGAGCATGAGACCCAACGGACCCAACTCTTTCCAGGCTTGGGAGGAATGAAGACGAAAGCGATGGCCTCCAACCTAGAGGCGATCGCCTCCTATGACAATTAGACAATTATATATTATATAAACACATATACTAATGACAATTCGAGTTGCTCAAGCTAACATGCTTGTACACGACACTGTCTTTTTCACTCCACAACCAGGCCGCCTTGCGGAGCTCTAGAGGCCGCTCGTTGAACTTGTCCAAGTCTGGCAGGTCAGGTACATCCCAAAAAGGGATGTGACAGCGACACAAGATGAAGGATTCAATAAAGAAAGCCAGGTTGCACCTCCGAATACCGACAAATACTGATATGATTGAACAAACTGCTTTTTGACTGTGGAAGAAGTTCATTCATGTTGTAGCAGCAGACGGCACACAGGGTTGTTCTGATGGATGTGTCTCACGTTGCGGGGTTGCTGCAGACTGCGGAAATCCTTTGAGACATCCTTGCATCTACAGATGGTTTGTGCTTTCAGAAACTGATTAATGCCTTGCTTGAATGCTTGCAAGACATCCCAGCTTCAAGCTTTGACACAAGTAAATGCCGCGTAGCCATTAAGACCTCACCCAAATGCCCCAAGTCAACTGCAAGAACCTTTAACTTGCAGGACTGACTTTAGCACAGTTCTGACCGATTCAGAACCTAAACAAAGGAAGCAACAACAATGCCTTTGTCAGCCAAACAATATCCGACGGTTACCAAGCCGCGCGGGGTGGACACCTCGATGGCGCCTTGTTGGTCCGAAGCTTGTTGGGATGACCATGGCGCTTGAATCCTCATTCAACCTGCATATTGGACCAGTGCGTTCCGATGTCATACCTATTCACTCAATGCTGAAATCAGGAACCGACCTTGTGTGAATGATCGGCCACTTAACCTGCCGCTTTGGTCACTTCGACCAGTGTACCAACTGAACTTTTAAGGACCTCATGAGCGGTGCCGATGCGGCCGGTGGGGCGGGCCGGCGGCCTGCTCCCTACGAGGCGGGGACGGCGTAGACACGAAGGACGGCAGAGGAAGAGAATTTCCACCAAGTCGAGCGGCGCGAATCTGCTTGTCGCGACCAAAACGTCAGCACAGGTTGACAAGTTCGGTGGCGTGGATATGCGTGGATTTGTGAAAAAACTCAACACTAAGGCACATCAAGTCTAGATGCATGTGAATTCAGTCAGAGCAACACCTGAAGCGGAAGCGGTTTGAGGGCAGGTTGGTCGGTTCAACAGTCTTTGGTTTCCTTTGTCGTCCTGGAAATGCCAGACTGGTGCCGCCACTGCGGCAGCGCCACAGCGTGCTCCCCAACACGCAGAGAGGGACTTGATGGGACGCTAAGCAGTGGAGTCTGCATCACTATGCAGCGGACGCTAATGCCCTCCTAGTGACTAACAGATTGAATCTTTTTGACCCCCGTCATCCCAACACAGAACACAGGACCCCGTCGTTTTGCTCTTGTTCGCATGGCCATGTGTGGCCAACTCAATAAGGAAAACCACAGATGTGTCTGATCTCTAACACGCCAAATTGGAAAAATTGAAATCCCCATCCAGGTCTTTACCTGTTCTGCCAGAAGAGTCGGAAGCTGGAGATGGTCGACGAGAGGAGTGACTCATCCGTGAGCTCTTGAGACGAAGGGTGGCGTAGGTTTTTCAGAAGTAACTTTTCAGATCCTTTATATAAACGAAAACTCGTGCTGAAATGTTGAATCCTCAGGAGTCAGATCTCTGGCAGTTCTCACAGACCCTTGGCCATGAGCTCAACAAAAGGCAACAACACCACATCACAGAATGAGATCTCACCATTCATGGTATACAGGGATATCAACTCTGTCCAAAGGTCTCCTGCCGTTCTTTCATCTTAAGAGTTCTCAAGTGATCGTGAGGACTGCCTTAGGGACCTTAAGCGATGGGCTGCAGCCAAAAACATATCAGATCTTTGAACATGCCACAGCCATGGTAGGCTTTGACTGACTTCTGATTCCCGTACAGTGATTTTGCGCTGAGGTGTCGACCTTGAACAGCACTCGGATTTGTTGTGGGTGGTGCAGGAGGCCAGGCAGAGCCAGTTCCCAAGTGTGAGAGAAGAGTGCCGAAGAGTACCAACTTGATGCATGAAAAGCTGCCCATCACTTTAGGAGAATTCGCGAAGGGCCCGATCGCTGGTAGAACCTGCAAGACACTTTTCTCGGTAGGCCTTCAACGCACCTTTGCCCTTGAGTTGGACTGAATACACCGATGACGAGGGACGGGTGTACTTCTTCAACCAGGCATGGGCTTGTCAGGCTTGTCAGGCTTGAGACATAAGTTTGCCAATTTGATTTTTTGCAAACATTCTTCCTTGATGTCAACGGATTCGATTGTGCGCACTGCCAATGGATTCGCCTGTACACCCCTTCGCTCTTTTTCGGTGGGCCAGTCCTCAAGTCAAAGCACTTGGGAGCATCCGATGGACAGCGTCTACCGGGAGCTCTTGAGTGGGGAGCCCTAGGTGCCCAGGACATGCCCAGGTGATTGGAGCCGCGGAAGATTTCCTGCTTCCTGTGTTCGAACTGTTCAATGTCATGACTTTCCAGGGGGTCATGGCCATGGTGTTGGATTTACCGAACTTCCACAGGTTTCTTCGAACATTCTTGCGACAGCAGTCTGAGCTATATAAGTGCTTTAAGACTGCGAGCAGTCCCGCCGTCCGCGCGGTGTGTCGATCACTGCTCAGCCGCGCGGTGCACTTGGTGGTGTCGAGAACAGCGCCATGGGATCTGCGGCCTCCTCGTTGAAAGCCGCGGCGGCCTCCGCCTCGGTGCCCCGGCAGGTGCAGGGTGTTTGGATCAAAGGGGTTCAGACAGGTTCGGGGGTGTTGATGAGCGTCATCCATGTGCGCATGACATGCCACTTGATGCTTGTTTTCGTGGAGCTTTTCACCATGGCCTAAATTAGGCTCAAGAGTGTTCGCTTTGTTAGAAACAGGTGCTTTCCGTCATGTCGTACGTGACCGCTCTTTAGGAATCGCATTCACATTGGTGCCGCGGAGCAGCTGGTGCGACCCAGGTGGTTGATGACCTCACGAGGTCGTGGTGGCGGACGAGTATGGCAAGCCCGTGACACCGCCACCACTGAAGAGAATGAGCCCGATAACGACCCCTGGGCCACTTGGTTGGATAAAGGGAAAGGAAAAGGCAAAGAGCCTGCCGCCGCCGCTGAAGCACAACCTCCTGGAGATCTTCAAGATCATGAGTCTTGGCCTACCGCTTCTTGGCATGGCTCTTGGGAGGACGAAGCATGGCAGGGTGAAGAAGGCTGGGGCGATGAGGCTTGGCATGAGGACGCATGGGGGGGGGTGATGAGTCTTGGCTTTATCACCATTATGGTGGTCCTCGATACCATGCCTCGAGCACCGGCTGGGATGACGCAGCATGGGATGCCGCTTCGTCCGGAAATGGATGGCTGTCAGATGCCCAGCTTCGCCGGTTCAACACGGCGCCCCTTGGCCGCATGACCGCCACTTCAGATGGCAAATGGCTTGGATCCTTTCACCCCGTCGGTGACCCAGGTGGAGTTGAATGGGATGGGAGACCCTCCCCTCCCGACCAGTTCAAGGACATGAAGCCCACTGAACGTGTCAAAGTCCCTTCCTTTGATGGGGGCATTTGTGATGAGACCAATCCCGAAGCCATCGGGAAGTCAGCTCGCTCGTACATCCGGCGAGTACAGGCCTGGTTGCGAGTGACCAAACTTCCTCCAGCTCATCAGGCCCTCGCCCTCTATGACGCTCTCACCGACAAGGCTTGGGTCGTGGCGGAAGAGCTGGATCTAGATGTTTTGAGCACCTCGCATGGAGTGCCTTACTTTTTGGAGTGGGTGCAAACTCGCTTTATGGATGTTGAGGTCACAAAGATCTCCCAGCTCATGACCGACTTGTTCCGTCGATGCAAGAGGAAGCCTGAGCAGTCGGTCCGGGAGTTCAATGTTGAGTTTGAGAGGATGGTCCTCCGACTTCATGAAGTCCGATGCGAGTTGCCACCCTTGGTGAAAGCTTGGCTTTATGTTGACAAACTGAGGTTGTCCGAGGCTGAGGAGCTGTCCCTGCTGGCTTCCGTGGGCAACGAGTATGACGTCAGGAAACTTCAGCATGCAGCCTTGGTTCAGGACAGGACCTTACGTCATGCTCGCACTGCACCCGCGGCTGCGGATGGCTACAAGCAGAAGCCTCGATGGAAGCATTCGGTCCACATGACCATGGATGGGGCATCCTCTGACGACGAAGACGCCCAAGGCGCCGAGAGTGAGACCTCCGTCCTGGTCGACGAAGAGACCGCTCAGGCCGAGCACATTGCCTACATGACCTACCAGGGCGCCAAGGCCAAGTACAAGGAGTCTCTCCGTGGGCGTGGCACCGATCCGGCGGAGCTCAAACGCCGGTCCGAAGAACGCCTTCGCTTGGCCAAGCAAAGAAGCTATTGCAGCGCCTGCAAGAGACGAGGGCATTGGCACAAAGACCCTGAATGCCCTTTGAAGGGGCAGAGACCTTCCTCGTCGGCTGCACCCTCAGACGGCTCCGGACATGTTCACCAAGCCCAGGTATGCCACACCGTGCAGTCTTGCTATATGACCGCCTTTGAGGAGACGTCGATTCCCGAGCTCCCCGAGGGTGGCCTCCAGGACAAGAGCTATGCCTTGGCCATCGTGGACACCGCCTGCACCAAGTCGGTGGCAGGGTACCATTGGTTTGAGGAGTTCATCGAACAAGCTGAGGCCCGTAATCATGCTGTGAAGATCGTCGATGAGATTGAGCATTTCAAGTTTGGCGCCTCCAGGGTGCATAGATCCACATTCGCTGTGTGGGTCTGGTTTGGCATAGCCCACCACTGGGTAGCAGTGAAGGTAGCAATTGTGCAGTGCCGAGTTCCGTTGCTCTTGAGCCGGCCGGCCTTGGCTGGCCTTGGCACTACTTTTGACATTGAGGCACAGCAGCTCTCAATGGCTCGTTTGGGAGTGCAAGGACTCCCGCTTGAACAAAGTGACACCGGTCACCCGGCCTTAGCCGTGACCCATTTTCCTCAAGGTAGCCCACCCGATCTGGCCGCCTGTTCAGCTGGAGAGATTTGGATCCCAGTCTCGCAGGTATACATGAGCACCGCTGCCACGACCGATCGGGGTGTCGAGGAGGCTTCCTTTCAAAGCAAGTTCTACCCCAAGAAGGTCCCCCGGGAGATTGAGAACATGTTGAAGGCATCCCCTTTGGCACCAACTTCGTTTTATTCATGGTGGAAAGGAGCCAACCAGAGCCGGGATTTTTGGATCGAGACGCCCTTCGAGATGATCCGCATACATGTTAGTCCTCGTCGTTTTGGGTTCAACCCATGGCTCTGGAAGACCTCCAACAATGATCTCAAACAGGCCCTCTTGCATTGTCTCGCCGGCCCTCGGATCTCCGAATGTGTGCCTGTTTTGGAAGAAGGAGTTCACGTAGCAGTTCATGAACATTCACTCGGAGGCACTTCAGTCACTTTTGATGAGCGCGAGTTTCAGCCGTTGAGTCCATGGATCGGCCGTAGCCGCTTTTTGAAGCTCAATTCGCACTGCCCGGACGTTGGCTTTTCTGTCCCTACGAATGCCACCTCCGGCCAACACCTCGACTTCGCCATGGAAGATGCGCAAGGACGAGATCATCAAGGAACTGGAAACAGTTCACGACCTGACGGTCAACCGGAAATGGCTGCTGCCCGAGGTCCGTCAATTGCTCATCGAGGCCCGGAAGGGGAAGAACGAACAGTCCGCGGTGGAGGACCCCATGAAGGGCATCACACGGCTATCCTTGGCCGAGCTCATGGAGGAAGCCAAGAAGTCAGGCATTCAGCTCCCTTCCAAGCCGACGAAGGGGTGGCTCATCCACCAACTGAGGGAGGCTCGCTCCACGCCAGCGGACACGGTGGTCCCGTTCGGCAAGTTCAAGGGATGGCTTTACCGGGAGCTCCCTCCTGGCTATCTTCGCTGGGCTGTGGCGGAGGTGAAGGAGAAGCGGGAGGAGGCCCACCCGGACCTGGCGCGCTTGGCAGCCTGGTCCAAGATCGAGCTCGAGCAGAAGACCGCTTCCAATCCGGCGACCCGCAACCTGGCCAAGGATCCCGAGGCACTGGCGTCTGTGCCAGTGCCGACGCTCGAGGAACTATCAGAGGGCCAGAGCTCGGCATCGACATGGTCCAAGATCTCAGCGGTCAAGCCGGCGGCCAAAAGCTTCCATCCTCAGAAGCGTGTGACAAGGCGGGAGGACATGGAGACCGATTCGATGCCGGAACTGGAGGTGGTGGACCCCGACGAGGAGATCCTGGTCCTGGAGGCGCGCCTCGCTGCTTTGCGGGAGAGGCGCTCCAGCCGCGAGTGAGCGGGCCTGATGGCTCGGACTATGAGGGAACCGATGATGAGGGTGGCCTCGTCTTCCTGTGCGATTACATCCATGATGATGATGGCAATGAGTATAAGGCGGTGCCTGAGGACGATGACACCGTCACCACCCTTCGCACGGAGAATATAAACGATGGCCATGCCTATTTGCTTGAGGACGATGGCGGTGACCTCATTAAGCCCGAGCAGGCCCCAAAGAATGTGTGCATGACTCAGCTGAGTCCCAGGGAAAAGGCAAAGGCGGGCATCCGTCAGAGGAAACGGATGAGCGAAGGCACTGGGAAGAAGCTTCGCCGCCAGATGAACGCTTTGGCCATGGCTTTCATGGCTTGCACTTGTGCTATGGGTTCCTGGGCTCAGGAACTGGCGGCAGATCCGGTCAACGACCTGTACAACGTCTTTTGCTCTTCCCAGGTCATCTATGAGGCCGCCTACCAGACGGCCCCTGAGGAGGTGCAGTGTCTTGAGCTGTTCGCCGGTCAGGCGAGAGTCTCGGAGGCCTTCGCTCGACGTAAGAGAGGAGTGCTACAGCCTCGTGATCTTCGTTTGGGGCACGACTTCCGGCTGGAAGAGCATCGACAGGAGGCTCTGCAAGACATCACTTGGCACAAGCCCGGACTGGTTTGGCTTGCGCCTCCTTGCACTCACTGGTGCGGGTTCTCGCACTTGAACCACTCCAAGCAAGAACTCCGGAGGCTCAGGAAGAAGGAACAGGTCCTGGTGGAGTTCGTCGATCAGGTCTTTGAGGCGCAGCAAGCTGATGGACGCTTAGTGGTGGTGGAAAATCCGAGGGGCAGTGACCTATGGAGACACCCACTTCTGCAACGCTGGATCACCAGCCAAGGATCTCGGATTGCCAAGGTAGACCTTTGCAGCTATGGCCTCACAAGCCCTGACACAGGACTGCCCCTGAAGAAGCCGCTGTCCCTCTTGAACAACAGCGAAACGTTCACCGAGCACGTCTCCAGATTGTGTGCTCATCAGGCTGGGGATCATCAGCCGATACAAGGCCGACTCACTGGAGGAACTGCCGTCTATCCCACTTCGTTTGCAAAGGCAGTGGTACGGGCGTTCGATGCCCATCAACGACGGGGGAGACAGTCGCTTCACTCCGCCTTCACGACCAGCAGCGGCCGTGAACCTCAAGAAGAACAACCAGTTCATGAAGACGCCTTTGGAGCAGAAGCAATCTCTTTTAAGGGGAAGGTGAACCCCACTGTCGCAGCAGCACTCCGGAGAGTCCATCAGAATCTTGGCCATCCCTGCAATCGAGATCTTGTGAAGCATCTTCGTCTGGGAGGCGCACACCAGTCCGTGATCCAAGCAGCTCAGCAGATGACATGTCGCACGTGCGAAAGAAGTTCACGGGCGAAGCTTCACAAGGTCAGCGCCCCGGCTACCATGCTGGACTTCAATGAGGCGGTGGCTGCCGACATCCTATGGGTGGACACCGTGGAGACGACCAACAACCCATGCCTCAACTTGGTCGACCTGGCTTCAACATATCAGGCGGTGATCCCGATTGCCAACACCACCTCGGAAGAGGTAGCCCGAGCCTTCGTTTCCGGTTGGGTGAGCTGGGCAGGGGCACCCAAGCATCTTTTGGTTGATTTGGACTCGGCCTTCAAGGACAACTTCCTGACAATGCTGGACCAACGGTGCATCGTGGTACGTGCAGCCGCAGGCCAAGCACACTGGCAGAACTCCGTAGCAGAGAGACACGGAGCTTCATGGAAATTGGTGTGGGCGAAGCTCGTCGAACAGCACACGGTCATCGAGGCAGAGATCTCAGAGGCCGCTGCGGCAGTCAATGACGCCAAGAACAACCTCCGTAATCGCTCCGGGTACAGCCCTAGGCAATGGATCTTTGGAAGCAGCCTGCGTTCCTCTCCGGACCTTTTTGATGGTGATGAAGAAGTTGCTGCACTTCATGCTGCCTCCGCTGACTCCAAGTTTGCCCGGGCCCAAGTGATCCGTACTGGAGCGAAAGCGGCATTCTTTCAATGCCAGAGTAAAGAAGCCTTGGCTCGTGCTGCGGCCCACAAACCCCGGGTGGCGGGGAGAGATTTCGAACCCGGAGAACTCGTCTACCTGTACCGGGAGACCAAGCAGGGCAAGAGCAAGAAGCCTACTGCCAACTGGACAGGACCGGCCGTTGTCATCGGCCGTGAGGGCTCCAACTACTGGCTGGCTCGTGGAGGACGTTGTCTTTTGGCAGCCCCTGAACATGTTCGTGAAGCCCGTCATGAGGAGATAAGCGAGATGCTCCGGCTAAAGATGGCCATGAAAGAAGTTCGCCAGATGGCTCAATCCCCGGAAGGGGAAATCTATGAGGAGATCGACGACGATGATGCGCCTGGCCCTGAAGAACTCAGACCTCAGGATATGGCGGGCCGCGCAGATATGGAGGCAGATCATGAACTCGAAGGTGGCCAACCAGCGCCAAGTTCAGCTGCAATGCATCGAGCGGCTACTCGTGAAGAGATGATCCGGACTTCAGTCAGAAGGACAAAACTGCTGGACGATGTCCCTGTCTCTATCAAGAAGGCACGCCTGGGGGAGGGCGCATCTGCTTCAGCAAGTTCCGCCTTCATGGCCAAGCACTGTTTGTCCGCAAAGGGCAAGGAGAAGCAATTGGAAAAGGAGTTGCCTTGGGGAATGATACCCCCTGACGAAAGGCCTTTGTACCTCGAGGCCGAGGACAAACAGTGGCAGGAGCATGTGTCCTTTGGGGCAGTGAAGCCGCTCTCTATGGAAGAAAGCAAAGCCGTTGAAGCTCGAGTTGATCCATCCCGCATCCTCCGTGCTCGCTTCGCCTACAAGGACAAGAACCACAGCAAGAGGAAGACCGACCCTAGCCTTCCTTGCAAGCCAAAAGCACGACTTTGCATCGCAGGTCACCATGACCCTGATCTTGGGGTGAAAGACATGGCAGTTGATGCGCCCACTGCCTGCAGACACAGCATCCTGCTAGCCATTCAGCTGGCGCTCTGCCGAGACTGGTGCATCTCGGTAGGAGACATCCGGGCCGCTTTTCTCAACGGAGTTCCAGCGCCCCGACAACTCTATTTTCGCCAACCTCGAGGTGGGATTCGTGGCTTGGAAGCTGGTCAATTGATCGAGGTGGTGAAGGGGGTGTTTGGCTTAAGCACTTCGCCAAAGCTTTGGTGGATGAAGCTTTCGCAGGATCTCTGCAAGTTGAAGATCGCGCATGAGGGGTCCGAGATGATTGTTGAGCGCAACCCCATCGACCCCTGCGTCTTCATGTTGAGGGACGCCACGAGCAAGAAGACGCGCGGTCTCCTCCTGACCCATGTGGATGACCTGATGCTGCTGACAGAGCCAGTCCTGACAATCAAGATCCAACAAGAGCTGGCGAAGATGTTCCCAGTGGATGAATGGCAGCAAGACAGCTTCGAGTACGTGGGCTGCGAATACAAGGTCTCCAAGGGACAAGTCTTCATCTCCCAGAAGGGCTATACTGAGAGCCGGGTGTCCAAGGTCACCATCCGAGATGGAGTTGATAGAGAACAAGTTGAAGAAAATCGGACTTCGATTGGAAGTTTGTCCTGGCTGGCAAAGCAGACTCGCCCCGACCTGCAATTCTACGTCTCGCAGGCTCAGAAGAAGCAGAATGACCCTGACGTCGATGCCTTGAAGTTCACGAATAAGGCAGTGAACTTGGCCATCAAGCACAAGGAGGAGGGGCTCTATTTGAAGAAGATCCCGGAGGACAAGATCGTGTTCTTGGCCTACCATGACGCTGCTTGGGCGAACGCCGACCTCGACGACGGCTGGGACCCAGTATGGACAGGATCCCACCAGGTGGCTTCGCAGATCGGTTCGCTCACCTTCATGGCGGACGCTGACTGCCTGGGCGGACCCGGCGGCGCCTGCAGCTTGGTAGATTGGAAATCAAAGGGGTGTCAAAGAGTGTGCAGGTCCACCTTCGCAGGTGAAACTATGGCCTGTTGCGAGGCCGTGGAAGGAGCTCTCTTCCTACGAGCCTTGTTCCTATCCATGATCCACGGCCGCATCATCTCTGAGGCCGAGGGTGGGAAGCACTTGGCCTTGCACCTGGTGACGGACTGCAAGAGTCTGTTCGACCACATCCACAAGGAGGGGGTCCCAAAAGCTCCCACCGAGAAGCGTCTGGCCATTGACCTCGCAGGTGTTCGCCAAACTTTGCTGCAGGAAGCGAGGCACCAATGGCAGAAGACCTATGGAAAGGAAGCCTCTCTAGCTCCGGAGAGGCCTTGCCGACCTCCACTTCACTGGCTGCCGACGGAATGCCAGTTGGCCGACCTTCTCACGAAGTCGATGGCTGCGGATGACTGGTGGACGACCGTCCGCTCCGGCTGGCTGCACCTTCCCCTCAAGACCGAGCCTGGGGAACAGAGAAGGGAGGAAATTTTGAAGCAGTGTTGATGAGCGTCATCCATGTGCGCGTGACATGCCACTTGATGCTTGTTTTCGTGGAGCTTTTCACCATGGCCTAAATTAGGCTCAAGAGTGTTCGCTTTGTTAGAAACAGGTGCTTTCCGTCATGTCGTACGTGACCGCTCTTTAGGGATCGCATTCACAGGGGGTTCAAAACAGTTCCAAAGGCTTCAAAGTTGGATGAACATGATGTAAGCTTCGTGAAAGGCTTGATGGTACTCCTGCCAAAGGTGACAAAACACAGGAAAGGGGGTCATCCAGATCATGTAACAGCTTTACCTTTGTGCGAGGCAAGCCCCAAAGTGCCCACCCTCACGCTGAGCCAAGGACCAAGAGCTGACAGATGCCTTGGCACAGCTGGACCCCGCTGATTTGGCCAAGTTGAAGACAGCCCTAGGCATCAATGTGGTGGTCGTTTCTTGGTTCGGAAGCTCGAAGTGGATGATTTTCCATTCACTCTTGGAGCACCAGCATTATGGGTGTTTGATTGGTTTGGGATGGCTTGGCAGAGGAACGTCGTTGACTCACCAAGCCCTGTAGTTCAGTTCGACTGTCGACTTGGAAGCTCAAAGTGGATATGTGTGGATCAAAGTCGATAGAGTTCACCCAGCTGACAACCCCAGTAGCAAGACATCCACCAAGATCTGGCGCATTTGTTTCTAACAATGGGTACTTGGACCGACAAGGTGAGCACGAAGACTGCGCCAGAAATCCAGGTGAGTCAAACAAATATCTATCACGTCGTGAAGTTAGGTGGGTTTTGTGTCGGATGGGTCGGATGTGTCCAAGGTTGGATGGGGTCCTGTGGGACACGCCGTGGTCACCAAGCTTTTGGCCAAGAGCGCGGCCATGAAGATTACAGTGATCACCGAGGCCACCGGGGCCCGGCGGGCGCCGAAGATCGGGTTCTTCGGGGTTCGAATTGATCCGAGGGGTCCGTTTTTGGGGTCCGTTTTGGTGAAGAATGTGCAGTGGTTGCCGCGAGGTAAAGCTTTTTGTGGTTCGAATCCAGGCACCTTTTATATATTTTTATGATGATCAGTTCAGACGTTGTTTGTAGCCTGGACCAGTGCTTCAAGTTAATGATATTAGGTGATGGACAGCTTTGGGGATGGCGCCAGACTGAATGATTTTTGGTGGAAGCCAGGGGCTTTGGTTCCATGACATTTAACTGTGAAAGAACAATCGCAAGCTCTTGACTCTTGATTAAGAACCTACCCCCATTGAATTGAACAACCTCTTCAGGCCCGGGGGTGACATAGTCTGACCGTCCTACAACCACTGTTTTCAGCTCCAGGAGAGCTATCCGGCCTACAACCGGGTGAAGCTCAGCAGCTTCTTTGAGCATCGAGATCCCAACAAATTGGCCCTCAGTAGCGCCTTGGTGAAGTTCCCACCCCAGTGGTGGTGGTTCTCCCGAATCAAAAAGGCGAGTGTGTCACGGTGAAAGAGTGGCGTGCTGTTTGCGTTGAGTAAATATGTATATAGATATATATATATATTATAGTGATCCCCAAATAGATAGAAACGGTTTCCAATACATTTAGTGGGGATCTACTTTTCTATCTATTTGGGGGTCTATATAAGTTGAGGCTGCTTTTCGTGTTTTTCTGCACGAAGATCTGTTCTGAGGCGCGGAGTGGTGCCGCGAGAATGGTGTGGAGTTGGTTTTCGGTCGGGCCAGCAAGGTGGATCGAGCGGCCAAGACAGTGGATGTGGACTGCGGCGGGGAGGTGGGAAAGAGACCACTCAGTAGACTGGACTGCTGGATGAGATTTTCAAGAATGGATCTAGATTGGATGAGATCTCCACGTGACCCCCCCCACCAACTTTCCGCGAATGGCGCAGACCAAAACGGTATCCTATGACGAGCTCGTCTTGGCGACTGGGAGCAAAGCGTGGTTGCCGCCAGTTCCAGGCCTCTCCTTGGAGGCCAGTTGCTTGTGGTGGTCAAAGGATTTCTATTCGGGATGAGATTTTCAGGTCTTGGTTCCAGCCCTTCGGAGATAACTAGTTGAGGTCCACGAAGGCTTAAGCCAGTTGTCCACGCCGCTGATACTGCAGGAACAGTACCAAGTACTGAAACATCAAGCGACAAAGAGGACACACGCACAAATACACACACTTAGGATAGGGTGTACTGAACTTAAAGCGGTGCCACACGCCGGCCTAGGGTTCCAATTCCTAAGAGTACCAGTAAGGACCATCGGAGCCTGGGGGTCTTCAAGAAGAAGTAGGGCCAAAGTCTCAAGATCGAAGGCGACGATCAAATCGACATGACGACGTGCGCGCATGACTGCCAAATGTAGCTACCTGTGAGGTTCTGGGCTTAGCCTCATGCCATTCGGAAAAAATGCAGGTACGCTGGAGTGGCCAACTCCAGTATCCCATCTTGCTGCCTAGCTTTGTTAGACCAGGTCAGCAGCAAGATGCCTGGCCCCCCTGCTGTGACAAAAACTGGAAAGTAAGAAAGCAAGCTGAGCAAATCCAAAAGGATCCCTATGATTCCAAGAGTTACACACACACACACGCCTCCCCGAGGGGAGGCAAAGTTAAGGCTAGGACGAATGTGTAAATGTGCGCGCAGAAAGGACAAAAGGATGAAGACATGAAAAGGAAGACAGACAGGACAAAAGTGTGTGTGGTGGCAATGAAAGGGAAACCAAGTGCACAGGGACAACCGATGAGCCCACCTCATTATCGAGACCTGGGCGACCTAACACCTCAGTTGAAAGTAGATGTGCGCGTACACACTAAGGCCCGGACCATTGTACGCGCAAAAGAACGAAAGGAGTGAGATGAACGGACATGAAGCAAGGGAAGACATGAAAAGAAAGAGGAAAAGAAGTGTGTGAAGGGGAAAAGGTGAGAGGGGAACCAAATGGAGGGGACGGGAACCGATGAAACCAAACCTCATTAAACAACCTAGGAAGACCTGCCTCGTTGAAGTGTGTACGATGTATGTGCACCTAAGTGTCCAACAGGTTCCAATGAACCTAGAAACTGGCCTTGACCGCTGTGGTCACCTTGTGCCCTGCCGAAATGGCTGGCTGCTTCGACCGCTGCGGTCACGTAAAGGCATGAGCCAACTTGGAATTCCAAAGATGAGACAAAAATCATCGTACGTACGGCCTAGGCCACCTACGCTCGCTGCGAGCTGCTCTGTATCCGGGCAGTGGATACGTTCGACGTACACCCGTTCGACGGGTCCACGGGAGGCACTCTGCGGGCTCATCCCGGGTTGGCACGAGGCCAAACACACTTAGGATAGGGTGTGCTGAACTGAAAGCGGTGCCACACGCCGGCCTAGGGTTCCAATTCCTAAGAGTACCAGTAAGGACCATCGGAGCCTGGGGGTCTTCAAGAAGAAGTAGGGCCAAAGTCTCAAGATCGAAGGCGACGATCAAATCGACATGACGACGTGCGCGCATGACTGCCAAATGTAGCTACCTGTGAGGTTCTGGGCTTAGCCTCATGCCATTCGGAAAAAAATGCAGGTACGCTGGAGTGGCCAACTCCAGTATCCCATCTTGCTGCCTAGCTTTGTTAGACCAGGTCAGCAGCAAGATGCCTGGTCCCCCTGCTGTGACAAAAACTGGAAAGTAAGAAAGCAAGCTGAGCAAATCCAAAAGGATCCTTATGATTCCAAGGGTTACACACACACACACTAGAGGAGGCCGCACTTTTTTTGCTTCCACCTCCACACATCTCTCCTGGTTTCCAGCCATCCTGCAGGTTGCAGGTGTGTTCGTGTATCGAACCATCTCAGACATCTTCCAGGCAGAAAACCTCCGGTGCGATCGAGTCATTTCCGTGTCGGTATGGCGGATCGAAGTACACACTGGTCGAGAAGTAGTGGATGGAAGTACACACACACAGAAACGTGTATTTTGTTCAACAAAAACGTGTGAAAGGAGCGAAGTACCAGCATGCGTGCTGAAGTCTGTGTTCGGGCCTTTTTGAGGGGTGAGGGGAATAGATGGGAAAAGGCTTTCCAGGTAGAAATTGCCAGTTTTTGCTTTAAGGTTTTGTGTTCGCATCAGTCTCAGCCCACCCACATCCAACTCAGATCACGGAGCGGGCGAAGTTCTCAAAGAAGGCCGTGGTCATCGGTGGAGGTCTACTGGGACTGGAAGCTGCCAAGGCACATTTGGTGTGTAGCATGAGGGCAGTTAGTTGGAAACATAGGTAATTACTGGACCAGGGCTTGGATAAGCTGAATTGCAATTGGCTTGATGATGTTGCCCCCTTTTTTCATTGTGATAGTGATAGCTTAGTAATCAGTACCCAGCCGGAACTATGAAAAAGGATCGCAACATGAACAACTTGGACTGACTGCAGTGACTCCAGCCGTGATGTTGGAAAAACCAGAGATCTTTGGCTTCTTCGGTCGAACATCCCTTCACTAGGCAGCTTACGACCTGGGTCTCGAGACGACCATCCTGGAGGTGGCACCACATTTGATGCCGGTGCAGTTGGACTTGGACGCGGGGAAGACGCTCGGAGATTTGCTGGTCATGAAACACAGGAAACATCCTTCCTTAGCGTTGTTGGGCCTGTGAGTCAGACATTTGCCCTGTGTTGTCTGAGGATTCTGCAGAGCAAAATCGAGGCACTGCAGTGCAGACTGGCTGTTTAGCATCCATTTTATCATGTCCGAAGGTCATCAGACACCGGTGTACGGGGTGTCCTCATGTGATGAAAAAATCATGAGTCATAACCTTCCTAGCTTGAGTAGGCTTGAGCCAATCATGGCTTGAGTGGGCCTGGGCTCGGCTGAATGGAAGGGGGTCTCATCCACGCTTGTGGCCTCCTTCTTCCCTCTTCACCTGGAGGCTCTCGGCTTGAAAGTGAAGACCGGCGTGAAGGTCTTGGGTGTGGAGACGGGGTCTGATGGCTTGACGGGCGTGAAGATCGAGGCAGAGGGTCAAGAGGACACCGTGGGTCGTGTGCTTGCACTGAGCAACATGAGGTCTCCCAACATGAAGGAAGGGCCCAGAATACCCCCAAAGTGGATGAGCTCGAATTTTTAGGGATGCACGTGTGGTCCTTCCAGGTAAGTCCTGCCCTTTTTTCCCAAACCGTACCGAACCTCGCCGTGGTCGGCGAGGAGACGTTGGAGGCCACCTTGCTCATCGTGGGCGCCGGAGTGCGGCCGCGCCAGGAGCTGGCGGAGATGAGCGGCCTAGAGCTGGGCGGACGGGGAGGCATCAAGGCCTGGATGCCGAGCGGCCTGGGGGAGGTTTGGGTGAAAGAATCCGCAGTGAAATCAGAAGAGAAATGGTAAAGAGAAATGGTATTATGAGACGTGAGCACAAATCCATGGGAACAAGAAAGGCCTTGCAAATCTATATAGTGATTATAGTGTCAATCTTTATAGTACTATATACTTCTCTGACCAACTCCTCGACACAAACCCAGCTATTTTGATGCCTAGAGGTGGACCATCGCATGCGCTCGGCGACTGACGAGCACGTTTGGGCTGTGGGCGAGATCGCTTCCTTCAACGGCGGCATGTGCTACCAGCTCTCAGCCCCTGGATACACTCAAGCAGAGATCCTCGCGGATCATATGACTAATCCCAAGGCCCAGCAGTTAGGTTCATCATATGGTTTCAACATATAGGCCTCGCAGCGGATCATATGGTTCAGCAGTTAGTTGTTTTCTTCTTTTGGGACCATCCTTCGTGCGCACGGTGTACGGCGCGCCTGCGCCTGGGCAGGCGGAGTCGAAGTTTGCGGATGCAGACCTCTCCACGAAGCTGAAGCTGCTGGGTGTGGACGTGGCCTCCTTCGGTGGAAGCTCCGATTTCTGGTTCAAGCGTCAATATAGCTCGTCCGGCGAGGAGATCATGTCCAAAGTCTCCAAGGAGGGGGCTAAGACAAACGACAGGTAGAGAAAACGTGTTGCGACAGGGCAGTCGCGTGTGTCCGTGATTGATTCTGCATCTTGCTCTCCGAGTCACAGAATTAGAGAGGAATCCTGGCCCTATGAAGCAGTGAAGCTGAGAATCCTTCGTGTCAACTGGTGAGGGTAGTTACAGATTCATGCCTGGGCTGAAGGCCTTTGTTTCAATGGTGTTTAACCTGACCACACCGGCATGTGTGAAGAATCTCTTTGCATTTCTTTCGCGGCAGTGCAGTGTTTGTTGACACTTCATTGCAGGATGAAGCTGCTGGCGTCTACAAGAAGTTGGTGTTCACACCAGACGGCCACTGGGTGCAAGCAGTTGAGCATGGGCAGCCGGTTGAGTTTGGACTCTTGCTCCGAGGGTTGCCAGATGTGTGCATTGTTTCGAGACACGGAAGCCAAGGGGTTTGCCAGGGGAGCCAGCTGGTTTCGGAGGTCCGTTGATGGGCCGATGGGGTCACTCGGTCAAGGCTTGCGGGCATCGTCCATTTGGGGCAACTAGTCATGTCATCAGTCATCATTTTCACCACCGCTGGGTCATCCAGTAGACCGCGTTTAGACCACGTCATCAGAGTGTCAAGCTGGACCATCTCAGCTTTTCAGCCTAGGCACCAAGCTCTTGGGTGGAATTCTGGTTGGAGAGCCTCGGCAAGAGTGGACATTTGAATGCTCTCACCAATGTCACCTGAAGAGGTCGTCAATTTCAGCACTGTGCTCAGGTGACACTTCACCGTCTGTCGGAGTCCCACCGTCTGTCGGAGTCCGACCGGATTGGACGTGGATCCCAAAATAGACCATCCCAGCACCCCAATGGTCTCCCCCATCTCTCCACTGAGAAAGTTCATCTCATCTGAGTCTGAACCCACTACTGCAAAACCTCTTCTCTGTCAACACCTCTCAGCTCGACTCTAAAGCACCATACGACCTCCCCTCAAATCATTCCAAGTCGAATCACCTCAAATACCCCGCTGGTTACTTTCCCGCATGTCCCGTCATAAACCTAAGACCGTCTTCCTTACGGGACCATCTTCCACTTCCTTGTTAGCGAGTCAGAGTGAAGTCATTCTTTGCCCATGGCATTGGTCGTCAGGACATCTCTGCCTTTGCACCCTTGACGGCCGTGTCGAAGCGCTCGGACCTGGGCGGCGTTTCGCCTGACGAGCTCATGGCTGGGCAGATGCCCAAGGTCGACGACGGCGGTGATGGCACCAACCTGGGGGATGATGATCACGTGCCGTGGATGAAGTGGATGAGCAACAACACATGGTTGGAGGAGATGTGGGGCAGAGGTTGTTGAAACATGTGAGAGGTTGGAAGGTGATTTATAAATCTACTTCTTCAAGGCGTGGCAAAACACCGAGATCAAACATGGGACCCGACGCAAGGTGCCCAACATGATTTGGATGGAATGTGTCAGGTGTAGATGTATAACTTAGATGCACGCACTAGAAGCACAACCTACAGGCAGGCGAGTTCGAAGACGGTCATGGGAATGCGTCAATCTATAGGCTGTGAAAGACTCATCCGTGAAAGTCCAACAACATAGACGGGAAAAACATGGAAAATGAAGGTGCTGTACCTTTGTGCCAACCAGGAAGCGAGCGACCAACGAGTGTGTCAAGAGATTAACTAGCAGAGTCATGAGACCACAAACTGGTGGCACTTCCATCATCAGGATCCACCCTGGTCAGTGCGGTTTTCTGTGGGCTCAGTGATAGCTGAGTGTAGCCAAGGTTTGCAACTGCCACTCTGTGCCAAAGAAGGCCAGTGAGCACACTGCAAGTTGCAATGCTGCAAGCCTCTGGTGTTTGTCATGTTCACCCATATAATTGCACTCAAGTCTGTTGCATCATCACCTCTGGACCACCTGCAGGTCATCAGAGATGCTATCATGAAGGGAGCCCATACCTTCGAGGCACCTGGCCATTTCAACAAGCCCATCACTGATGGGCTGGCTGTTTGGATCAGTTCACTGTCTCATCTACTCTTTCAAAGTGGTCCGATGATAAGCAGTTGAGAGTGAGATCCCCCATCCATTCTGCGCAGAGATTAAGAAGTGCAGGAGATTAAGAAGTGCACGAAAGCTGGAACTGGCTGTGGCACCTGCATCCGCAATGGGCCGCAGCCGAAGCTCCTGGCCCACACCTTGAATGCCAAAGGCCGCTCAAAAAGCACGGGAATGCACCGGGACTAGAATGTCTGGACGTGGTGTGGAACAAATCAGATTTGGATTGCCTCATGCTGGCTGCCAGATCAATTAATGTTTGATCAGTTGGTGATTGAGGTTGCTGAGGTTGCTTCCCCAAACAGATGTCGTCAAGTCTGGTTTGTGTTGACACTGAAACCACCGGCAAGAGTGGCTTCAGGAGTGGAGGCAGGGGTCTGCAAGAGCTTGCCCTTCACCCATGATGACATCGAAGACCTGGCGAAAGCGCGGCAGTTGAAGAGCTATGATGAGCTGGTGTCCCATGTGCCCTTGCTGTGAGTGTTCAAAACACCTGGGTCACCCATAGGTTTCCAAGGGGTGTGAATTGCGGTGTTTTGGAATCTTGGGCGAACACAGGAAACAGGCATCCAGCATCCATTTTATCCTTGTTCCTTTGTTTCTGTGGACGAATGCACAACAGAGACGCCCCCGGCCGACCGCATCCCAGTTGGGTTATCCTTCGGCGGCCGCGGAGAGCGACAAGACCGCGCTGGGTGGCCTTTTGGACCGGCAAAGGCCTCAGGTAGATTGCCCAAGCTGGACCCTAGTTTGGCAAGAGGCAAGATGACCAGACCTGGTGCACTGATCTGAGGATTGGCGGAAAGCCCAAGGGAGAGGGCTTGGATCATCTTGGACAATTGAAGGCAGGGTTTAAAGTTTAAGCATTCAACTGATGGCCTTGCACAAGAATGGGGACCAGCTGGACGGCTTGCAATAGGCTGCTAAGCAGACCCCCCAAACCATGATTGCCAAAACCTGCACTTTATCAGCATTGAATTGAAGGGGAAAGTCCGGACTCCAGCTTTGAAGCCTGCTTGGTTTCTCTCATGGCCAAACGACGGGTCCTGAATCCTTACTGCTGATAATGGCGGAAAGGTCTTGACAAAGGCACAGGCGTTATGTGAACAACAAAGTGCAGATGCTGTGAAGACCCCAGGGCTTCTTGTGCTTGCTCAGGCACTCAAGGAGGATCTTTGGAAGCCACCGAGCTATGTTAAGTGGCCCAACCCCCCAGTGGCCATGATATGAGAGGTTTGGCTATCCAACTAAGTGGCTAAGTCCATCCACTAAACACACTGAACCCCAAACTGTATCCTGATTTACGTTCTAGGTTGGAGGTCATCGGCCATCGCTATTAGGTTGGAGGCCATCACCATTAGGTTGGAGGCCATCCCTATTAGGTTGGAGGCCATCGTTATTTGGTTGGAGGCCTTGTGTTGGATACGTTGGGGTTGCATGCGGCACTTTCTCGAGTCCGAGGTTTGTGGATAAGATGAATTGCAACCCCATCCTCGTCCGCCTGGCATGGCATGACGCCGGCACCTATGACAAGTCCAAAACCGCCTTCGGCTGCTCGGATGCGTTGGAGCTTATGAGTTTTTGCTCGGATGCCCACACACACATGGAAAGGAAGGTGCAACTGTCTCTCGCCAAACGATACATAGCCAACAGTGATGGCTGGCCCCTGGTTCGTTTACACTTTACACACATTGGACAAGCAGGACCCTTGAAGAGGTTGACACGTCCACGGTTGGTGGTCCGCGGTCCCTGGTTCGTCGGCGCATATCGATGGCGTCGCGTTTCCCTTTCGCAGGAGAGCGTGGTGGGGCGAATGGCTCAATCCGCTTTAGCCCAGAGATCTCCATGGGGGCCAACAACGGCTTGGACAAGGGGGTGAAGTATTTGGAGCCTTTCAAGGCACGGACAGTCTTCCATGCTTGAAATGATCTTGAGCCCAGATGGATGTAGAGCTTTCTTGCAACCTTGGACATAAAGAGTGTCGGTGATTTCTGTGTTTTGCTTGAATCAAGATTCAGCAAGATGCTGAGTTGACAGGCTCCTCACCACTACTTAGTTTCAACTTTAGTCACAGTCGGTCCCGGTCACACTTCTTCAGAACAGTCAGTCAGTCAGTCGGGCTGCAGGCCGACTATCCTTTGGTCTCCTATGCAGACCTTTATCAGATGGCTGCTGCAGTCTCCATTGAGCATGCGGGCGGCCCAAAGATTGATATGAAGTATGGCCGAAAGGACCGACCTTGCTGTTTACTAGTTGACTGTGTTGCAGGTCCCAGACAATCAACTCTCTGAGATCGTGGAGTGGTCAGTTTGCTGAAATGATGCGAATCCAAGATTGCTTTCATCAATCATGTGCCAGCAAATTGCTTTTTATGGGTGTCATGGGTGTCTCTGGGACTTGACAGGATGAAGTAATGCATCTAGTGAATCTAGTGGTATATGTGTCTTGAAACTGCAAAGACCTCCCATCCGGTCGTGCTTGCTCATTGCTTGAAGGATGCCTCCGGCCCAGACGATTGTCCGGGGCGCCAGTCTCGAGGCCGTGGACAGTCTTGGCATTTGCAAACTTTAGTTAGAATTCCTTATAATATCTTGTAATATACAGTGGTTTCAACGTAGATGGCACAATCCCCAAAATGGTGGTTTACCCCATCTATTTTGGACATCTTCGGGTTTGTTTGTGCCATCTACTCTGAAAACACTGTGACTATCCTCAACTGGTAGCAAAACAAAAACAGGTGTCCACCTATATGGAGTCCATGGGCGACAGGCACCGCTGACAATGCCGGACTACCTGATGCTGAGCCGGGACCCGATGGAGCCTTTGGGTGTGGCGCTAAAGATGCGGCCACCCACTTGAGGAATATTTTCTACAGGCCCGAGTCGTTCGATGCAACAGTTTCATACGTCCTAAACAACTGGATTTTGATTCCATGATTTAGCTCAAGTTGGAACTTTGAACTGGCCCTTACTGTCTGGAACCGCTTTCTAGAGAATGTCTTCACGACGCATGTCTTCGTTTGGAGCACGTCCGTTGCCAGGATGGGCTTCGACGACAAGGGCATCGTGGCACTCAGTGGTGCCCATACCATCGGCAGAGCCTTCAAGGAACGTAGCGGTACTGTGAAGGAGGGCTATGGAGAGATCCTTGGAAGCATCGGATTGACCTGGTAGGTCCTGGTAGGATGATTGAGATGGTAGGTCCTGGTAGGTAGGAGGTTCCGTCACGGTTCCGTGCCGTAAAGTCGAAGGATTCGTTCAGGATCTGTTGCTCCAATTTATTCCCTAGTTTATGCATGAAACTAATTATGGGATCTTTGTCCTGTAGTACATGCTAGCACGGCCTGTTGCATTTGCTTTCTCTCATGCCACTCCCAGTGCTCAAAGGACCACATGAAGCACGCATGACCTTGCGCCAGCGGGTCAGGTTACAGACCTAGCATCTCTTTGAAATAGTCATCCTGAATCATAATCATTTTATCATGTAAAGAGTGCATTCACATATGTTCACCATTTTCGTCAGTCCATGTTCGTGATTGGACGCTTCTACCAAGGAGCTCAGCTTGCCCGTACACACGTTCCATGCCGAAGGGCTGTCCCATCCGCAACGACGGTGGCTATGGAGTAGGGATGCCAGGAGGAAAGTCTTGGACGACGAAGTGGCTCAAGTTTGACAATGTCTCTCGGCCATAAATGGGCAGCGCGGCCGATTCCAGATCTATCCTGAAAGATCATTTCTCAGTGCACTGCAGGAGTATTTCCAGCCGTCGGTCTATGAGGAGAAAGACAAGGAGCTTTGGCAGTTGGCAGGTTTCCTTGTTTCCACCTGGGCAGTGACTCGGGGACCAACAGGGTCTGCAGATGCTTTTTGCTCCCGCTGGGTGTGGGGTATCTTAGCCGGGAGTATCTTAGCTTAATGGCTTACAGTCAAAACCCAGAGCTCCGTTTCCCGTGGTAGGTGGACCTCCCTCAATGGCTCTGTCTTCTGTTCATGTTCGGCGGGAAAAACCAAAGCTTTCCCCTCTTTGGACCCACAAGATGCATGAGTTTGACTCGTTGAGAGGGCATCAGACTCACTGGGTTGCGGGGTGGTTTGAGGGCAGTTTGGCACTAGACACAGACTGGACCTGTGACTTACCTGGTGGGCCCAATGAGATTAGCATCATTCAGCCCTGAGCCGCCAGGATCTTCTATGGTTATCTTCCGATCGATGCTTACATCAGGACGAGGGCTTCAAGCAATATTTTATGTCTCCTGGCCATACTGAACCTATTTCCCAAACGGTTTTTAGTACCCGATGGACAGAGAGCATCTTGTCAGCTGTTGAACTAAAATGACTGAATGCACGTGGGAAGTCCTTGTTGCCAGGAATCCTCAATGGTACAGTATGTACTTAGAGACATGGAGCGAAGTAAAAGAAAAGATGGCCCACGTGTGTCATTGAAAGAGGCTTGTATTTTGTCAGATGCACACCTCCAAGATGGTTACTGTACTTCCTGTATGCAAAGACTGTGTCAGAGGCAAGAAACGCATACAGCTTCCAGAACCGTTGGTCTTTGCTTGTGTCGATCCAGCTTTCTTGGGACTCCAGTCCTATAAGTAAGACAGTAGTGATACCAAACCGTGCCCTCCAAATCCGACGGCGTCGCTCGGTCCCGTCGGTCGACCGAGGCTCTACAAGGACGATCAGGCTGCCTTCTTCCGAGACTTTGCTGAGGCCTACAAGCAGCTCTCAGAGCAAGGTGCGGAGTTTGAGCCGGAAGCTGGCCTGACGCTCTGAGGGCGTCGTGGCCAAGCAGAATCGTGAAATGGGTGTGGCCATCTAAAAGGGTGGCGGCATCTGAGATGGAACGCGTGGACGTGGATGAAAGAATCTCGCAATATGAACCCTCTAGAAATCGGAGGCACATGGAGCGACAGGGAAAACTTTTGAAGCGAAAGGGTCACATTGCGAGTTCAGATCGAGACGCCGGCTGCTGGAGTTCAGCGGTGAAGAACTTGAGATGCTTTCTTCTTTTATATTTATTCATTGAGGAGGGACTTACTAAGAGAGTGTGAGCTTTGGCCCTCCAAGTCCCTAACGAAACATGTCTTTATTGCACGACTTGAAATGCACAGCAGAAATTTGCTGCAGGTAGCTACGTTCCTGAAACTGCATGACTGCATGATCTTACTTTGTCACGCCCTTTCGTTTGCTGGGTCAACACATGTTTACACAGCTTTGTCTTCATGAGTGAATACAACTGGGACAAACGTGAGCCAGCAGTGGATTGAACGCCTTTGTGCCTTTCCAGTGATCTTCAAGTTTTCCAGCTACTTGAATACTGCAAGCTCCATAGTCATATTGCGACAAAAGAAGTCGACGAAAGACAGCAGCCTTGCGCACATCGAATTCAATGCAGCTTTTCTGCTTTTCAAAAAGGCAAAGCAATCCTTTCGTCGAGATGATCGAAAATGGCAGGGGGCTTCCGTTCATTGTGGAGAAGGCTGTGTGAATAGAGATAACTATTTTTGAGTTGACGCATCAGCGTAGCTGCTCCCAGCTCATACTATCTGCAGCAACCACAACTATGCACTTTGTCAATGCAATCCCTGTTTAACGTGATTTTGATGAAGCCTGTTGGATATACACACAGAGTCAGATAAACATGTTTCACATGTGTGGTTTGTGCCATGGAGCAAGTCAATCAGATTTCACAGGTAGTCAATTTGGTTGGATATTTACTGCTCCAAAGCAGCGTGCGTAAATAGACGTTCGAGGCATCTTAGCCCAATCCAATCGAAGTCGGCAACCCAATTTCCTGAAACAGATTAGTTGTGGCAAAGGATTGGAGCTCGAGCTCTCATGACAGATCCAGGAAGGTCCATGGATGCAAGGAATGTTCCTGTAGTTCCCTCGCAAAAGCCCCGGAACCTTTCGAATCCTCACTTCGAATGGCGGAACCTTCCGAACCACGCCACCGTTCCCACCGTTCCCACCGTGGACGTCTCCCGTCTTCCTCTGACCGAGACGTACCGACCGAGGCGTGATCCAACGAGCTCGACAGGTTGGGGTCAGTGCAAACGAAGAGTCTTGCGCTACACTGGTGCAGAACCACCTTCGGGAGGCGCAAGTGATGGATGGAAGGGCACGGAACGGAAGGGCACGGGCCAGGACTGCTTTGTGCTTTGGGCACGGGCATGGAACGATGGTTTGCGAGTTTTTTTTGTTTTTAAATGTTTTCTTCATAGATGGTAGAATCTTGGTAGATGCTTTCAGAGGTTGCAAGGAAGTGATGCCAATGTTCTACTGAGGGCTGAATTCTGAAAAACCTCCCGATCAAGAACAATGAATAGAGGTGTAGAGTCGTGAGGGTCCTTCAAAAGCAAGAAATATAGTGGCGATGCATCTGACTGTCAGCACTCGAGCCAGCGTGCACCACCGAGCCGGGTTGTTTCCAGGTGCACCAACGCGCGCTGAGAGCGCTAGAAGACTGGAGCGGGCCATACGTTGCAGAAGAAGGTGAATACTACTACAACCTTCGACTAAAGGCCAGGTACCGCTTGTAGCTCGACATCATAGGACGGCTTTCTGTCCTCTAGGACGGAGAGAGGTGTTGCCGGCAGAATAGCCAGCCATGGGCAACTCGGAGCTCATCGCCTCATCGCCTCGGTACATTTGACGCTCGTTTTGTTTACGTCATCGCCTCGGTCAAGAACCCAATTCTTTCCCTTTTTAAGAACATAGCACACACACACACACGCACGCACAATATATGTATATTATGTATGTATTATTTAAGTACTTATTTAGTTATTTATTTATATATGTATATATATATATATATACACACACATGCGCAGAAATCTTTGGACCATGGAGGCTTTGGAATCCAAAGGATTGTGGAGTTCCCAAGTGATTGCAGATGTACTTAATTTCCACGCTGCTGGACCTTGAGCCAGGTCAGCACTTGGCACAGCCCGGTGGCTGAGTGGGAGCAGGAGCAGCGCAGCTGGTTGGGGTGATGAGCCAGTTTTCGGAGAGAGTCGATTCTGAAGAGCAAAAGCGTCAAGCTCAGCTCGCTTGAAAGATTAGAGGCTTCTTTTGCTTGCAGCACAGGAGCTCCTGACGCGCCAAACTGTACTATTTTGGTGCTGCACCAAACGGGCCATGGGGAGGATGGGAGGCGAAAATTACAATTTAGACCGAAGGTATCCATACATTTTCCTCCTGCTGCTGCTTCTTTTTCAAACTGGCTGGCGCATGAAACAGTCAAGTATGCCGGCTAAACGTCAAACGGCAGCCTTTGTAGAAGTTTTATTGTTAGCACTCGACTGAGCTGATGTACTATCAAAGAGCAGCTCACAAAAACCATCCAAAGCTGGACAAAGAGCCTAGGTGCCTGCTGGGTCCTGGTCGGGTGATTCGATCTCAGCAGGGAAGCCTAGGCTGCAGGCGCTGGTTCCCAGCACCGCAGCACCAGTCGGACTGGGACCATCCCCATGCGTTTGATGCAGCTTGGGGCTCATCTATGATCAACTGCCAGAGCCGATACTGCAGAACCTCCTCTACACCTTTATAAATCAATGGTATCGCCCCATAAAGTGTCAAACAAACTTGGGACCCACAGGGTCACACTGACCTTGCTGATGAAGAGATTACATGAGAGAAACCCATAGATGACCTACATCTGTAATCTTTGGCCCAAGAGGAACACGAACTGTTTTGTTTTTCTCTTTGGCACCATCATTACACCTCTGAAATGTAGTTCCTTTTTTATTGGGATTGCCTGACACTGGTTGGCCGGATGCCTTCGAGGTCGGATGCCTCTGGCTCAGATGAGAACGAGTATACTGTTGGTGCTGGGCTCATCTGAGCGATTTGGATCCTCAGCTGGGAGAGGTTGGCAACCCTCTGAAAACCCTCTGAACCACCTTGTGAGCACGATGTTCGCTGTGAAGCTGGCATCGCCATTGTTCCAAAAGGATTCCCAGCGGGTTGTTTCGGCGGGGGGGGAGCAGGCATCTATATAATCAGCAAGCTCACAGGACGATGAAGCCCAGAAAACCACGTTTGAGGCCCCATTGTTATCCAGACCCATCCACTCCCTCGATCGGATTGTCGTCTCCGGTGCGTCTCTCACTGGTTCTCGTCGTAGACCCTCTCAGGTGCCATGGGCTCGGACTTCCTTTCCGCCCTTCGGCTCCCACTGAACCTGGTGCGTCGTGACAGTGGCACACCTCCCTCTACACCCTCCACGACGCGGCGCGGGGGCCTAGTCACCTGCCTCAACGGTTTGGGGCTCCTGGTCAAAGGAGCGGTCAGTCCATGGTGTTTGTCCGCTTTGCACAATAGAAGTTCTATTGTGCATATCCTGTGCCGCACCGAGGTCTTTCCACACTGCACGAGACCTAGGACAGAGCATGGATGGGTCGGATGCACTGGTTGGTTCTAAACCAAGAAACTAAGAGTCGTATCCCCTCGCGCGTGGTTTGTTGAAACCACCGGAGACCGGCAACTATTTGCCAGAACCGGCGCTCCGCTGGCCCATACCCAACGTTGTGAATCCTGCCTCTCCAAAGTCGGCAGTTCAGGCAAGCAGCCGTGCACTCCGTGCACTCTGTGTGTTCTTCTTCGTCACTGGTCTTAGGGTTGACGTGGCCTCCGTCACTGTGGAATCCCTCCCTAGGCGCGATCGGTACTTTCAAGCCGCTCCCAGCGCAGCCGCATGACGACGGAGGACAATGAGAGGCACTTCCGGCTTTTTGGAGATCGATTGCCCTCCACTGAAAACCACTTAGGATGGTCCAGCAAACTACAACCACCAGTTTCTCCACTTTGCCCAGAGACTACCATCTTAGAGTCTCACACTTATCAACTTGAAAAGCAGCCTTGCAGGACAACCCTCGGAATCTGAACTGAACCCTTTGTTCACCGAGAGTTCCTGGAGTCCTGTAGTCGCTTTGGTACACACACACACAAAAAGCATCAAACAACTTGCATCCCAAAAGCATTTTCAGTCTCTATCCAACCAACACACCTCAACTGTTGGGGTCTGATGCTTCCTTCCACTTTGCTTGGGTCTGACCCTTGGCCAGGAACTCTGCTCGGGGTTCGCCTCCCAGCGGCTCGCCGCGGGAGCACCACGGCTGGAACAGCGTCGTTGTCCATTTGCCACTCCATGTCTGAAGGCCGAAGGCTGAAGGATCACATGCAATGAATAAGGAATCGTGATATATAGTGATATAATGTGATATATATATATATATACACACATATATATATATATATATATGTGTATATTTAATGTTTTCAACTCTCACGTGAGGAGAAACACTCATGATTCATCCACACCAACCTAGGTGTCTTCATGTTTCTTCTTTCCGGATGTTCCAAGGCAGAGTCCCGAGAGCTCGAGTGCCATGTAGATCACAGCGAAGAGCTGGTCGCCGTGAAAAGGGCCGTATGGACAGACATATATATATATATATTATACGATGTATTGATATGGTTTTTACGCATTTGGTAGGTGAACACCGGTCGAGCCTATGAGGGTCGTCTCAGCCTATGGTGCAGGAACGGACTTGACATTTAGCCTATTTCGACACCAAGTTGGGTGCTTTTGGTCGCATGCTTACGACAAACACAGCGAGCAACCTGAATAATGCAACAAGCAGAACAACAACGGCGCCAGCTACAACCACACCTAGGACCTTGAATGCGGCAACAATTTCAACTACAACACTGCCAAGGGCCATAGCTTCCCTTGTAACCTTCTTCAGCAAAATTGCATCATGGCCGTTGATGGAAGCTATGAGAGCTTGCTCGAGCTACGTGTCGTTGGCTTGGATGGTGAAGGCTTCAGCCTGAGGCTTCCCGATCCCAAGAGCGGTCGAGATCTCTTTGTGTTGATCCGTGGCCGGGTGCCCTCCAAGCCGGGGGCGCAGCTGTCCGTCTATATTGGAGCTGAGAGGCTTTCGTTGAAGAAGACTTTGAGGGAACAAGGGATTGGCTCGGAAGAGACCTTGAGCTACATGTTTCTACCCACAAATCTGGCACAAGCGATGAACTTGATCCAAGGCTTTCCAGTTGAGGATGAATTTGCATTGGATGGTATCGTTGAGCTGGCAGGAATCGAAGACACCCAAACTATTTTATGGATGAACTGGCCCAGCACCTTGCTAGAATTGACCTTTGGTGACTTTTTTAATCACAGAGTGGAGAAAATCAAATGGCCGACTAGTCTCAAGAGCCTTGAATTCGGTGCTCGCTTCAACCAAAGTTTGTTGGGGGTGAGCTTGCCAAGCACCCTCGAATGCCTGTACTTCGGTGGCAAATATGACAAGAGTTTGAAGGGAGTCAAGTTGCCCGGCAGCCTCACATTCTTGACTTTTGGCGATTCGTTTAATCAAAGCTTGGATAAAGTTGAATTCCCAAGTGGCCTGAAAACCTTGGTCTTGGGCAATGCCTTCAATCAAAGCTTGAGGCGAGTGGATTTGCCCAGAGATCTCCAATCGTTGTCCTTCGGCCGCTCTTTTGATCAGAGCCTGTACAAGGTCAATTGGCCCAGTGGCATGCTTGAACTGGAGTTTGGCAAACACTTCAATCAACTACTGAGGAATTTCCCCAAAGTCTCCGCCAATTGACCCTGGGCGATGCCTTTAACCGTGGCCTGAAATCCGTCCGGCCAAGTGGCCTCTCGATCCTCGTCTACAAGGCGTGAACCTCCCAGTCGGCCGGCAGAGTCCCCTTCGGGGATGGATACTCCAAATGACGTTACACAAAGTGAAATTGCCCGGACTACGGTACCTTACCTTTGGGAATTCATTCGGAAGTTTGGAGCGAGTCATTCTGCCAAGCAACCTGAAATCACTCACATTTGGTGAAAAGTTCTGCCGAAGCTTGGACAACGTGACACTGCCAAGAAGCCTCGAGAGGTTGTCGTTCGGTCGGATGTTCAACCAGAGTTTAGAGAAAGCCAAATTGCCATTTGGCCTCAAAGACCTTCGATTCGGTTCTCAGTTCAATCAGAGCTTGGAGAAAGTGACATTGCCGAGTAGCCTGAAGAGCTTGACCTTTGGTTTCTCTTTCGACAAGAGCTTAGAGAATGTCAATCTGCCAAGTGGCCTGGAATGACTTGTTTTCGGGACTGAGTTCGACCAGAGCTTGCAGAATGTCAATTTACCAAGCAGCCTCAAAGAGCTTAAGTTCGGCAAGTGGTTCAACCAAAGCTTGGAGAATGTGACATTGCCGAGTAGCCTCAAGAGGTTGATTTTCCCTGATGAATACAATCAAAGCTTGAAGCGAATTGTCTGGCCAAATGGCCTGAAAGAATTGCAGATCGGCCAAGTGGAAGAGGGAGTGGATTGGCCAAGTGGCCTCAAAGAGTTGACAATGGGCAGGGAATTCGATCATTGCCTGCAGAAGGTCAATTTCCCAAGCAACCTCGAAATCTTGGGCTTTTCCAGTGAACACAGTCACAGCTTAGAGGGCGTGACTTGGCCAAAAGGTCTGGAGCTGAACTTCTTGGAACACTTCGAGCAAGAGTTGAACCATGAATTGCCAAGGAGCCTTGAGAAGGTGCATTTGCCTGGGATCTGGATTTTCCGCAACAGACTTCGGCTGAGAATCTATTTGGTACTGGCATCAATTGGCCAAGCAGCCTGAAGGAGCTCTCTTTTGGCTTCGAGGGCAGCAGTTTGGAAAACCTGAGTCTTCCAACCAGCCTCCAGAGCCTACGTTGTGGAATCTTTACAGTCTCAACAACCCAGATGCCGCTGGTCAATCTGGATGCCGGCTTCGATGTGGTGTCAGACAGCGAAGAAGAGCCTGCAAAGCCGGCCGCAGGGGCCGCAGGGGCCGCAGCACGTCCATCTCTTCCAAGATAACCAGCGCCGGATACAATTGTCTGGATCAAAATGGCGGCGTCTCGAGACATAAACTCTGGCACTGGTGAGTTTCTCCCTGAAACGGGGGATGCTTCAGTAAACGATTCACTTGTGGTGAGAGGTGAAAGAACATACTTAACTTTGAGATTAGTTTCATTGGATTATAGCAACAGCTTTTCCGATTGCCTGGCTCAAACTCAGATGGTCAGGTCCTTAGCCCAACAATGGTAGGTCCCAAGACATGACGACTGGAAGAGAGGCACGAAACATGCATTGGAAGCCAACTCTGAAGGTCATCGGCCCGATTTCCAAGGCTAACATTTCCTCCCAGTGGTGCGTACAGCTTTGACAGACTCTTTTGACACCTTTCAGAAAGCACAGCCACTGACAGCGACTTGCCATGAAACCATGACGGTCACCGCTGCCTCGCTTCGGTCCGGTGACCAGGGACGAAAGAGGGCAACTCCCGACAGCACACGGACCCATGTTGTTTTTGAATAGTAGCGTCCTTGCTCCTAGTAGCGGTCAGGAGCCCCTAATAACATCCTTGCTCCTAGTAGCGATGCCAGGAGCCCCTAGTAGCTTCTTGTTCCTAGTAGTAAGGCCAGGAGCCCCTAGTAACGTCCTTGCTCCCATTTTGCATTTGAATATGTTGAATAGGCCCCGATCCCTCCATGCATGGCAACTTTTATGCACACATTTGATACTGTTTCATTGATGGCCAACCTATCTTCAACAAACTTGGCACTTTCTTCTTGTAACGGTTGGCCCAGTTTGGGGCGTGTAACTTCGGGCAGCTAACTGACCCAATAAATGTCATGCGTCCTCCTGCGAGATAGCCCTGTCTTCTTTGACCAAGGATGCAGCGTGACTCCATGGAGGAGGAGGAAAGGCGATTGCCAAGACTGGACAAAAGCAAATTGTGAATCGATGGAAGCACTTGTACCCGTTTTTGATCGTCTTCGGGTTTCATCACCTGCTACAATCCAGCAGATTGCGTTAAAACAAACCGAAGTCCACTCTTGAGCTGCCGTGCATTGCAAAGCGCAACATGAGAGGAGGTTGATGACTGTGATAGCCATCGGTTTTCCCGGGAGGAGCCAGCCAGCACTGTTTGAATAGAGAACAGAGGAACAGAGAATACTTTGGATAACGTGTGGATATCCACTGTAGTTGTGCTAGTTTAAATATGATTCCCATTCATAGCAACATGGTAAGGGACTGAATACAAGGAAACATCCATTTAGAAATGCAGTGTCAGGCTGATGCCTGAGGAAGAGCCGGAACTCCCTTACCGAAGGAGAGGATCCCTAAACAGATAATTTGTTCTCTGATTGGTTGGGAGGCCAACTGTTTCAATCAAACTCAGAACAAGTCCTCACCATTCCTCAAACTTGAACTGTCAAGCTGCTGGATGAGGATGAGATGAGGATGAGGATGAGGATGAGGATGAGGATGAGGATGAGGATGA